TACACAACCCTTAATTCGAACTACTTAATTTGAACTAGGCGTTAGTCCTCGTAGAACGAGGTTTACCTCGTTCGAATTAAGCGCTCCGCTAGTTCGAATTAAGTGGCTACACAACCCTTAATTCGAACTACTTAATTTGAACTAGGCGTTAGTCCTCGTAGAACGAGGTTTACCTCGTTCGAATTAAGCGCTCCGCTAGTTCGAATTAAGTGGCTACACAACCCTTAATTCGAACTACTTAATTTGAACTAGGCGTTAGTCCTCGTAGAACGAGGTTTACCTCGTTCGAATTAAGCGCTCCGCTAGTTCGAATTAAGTGGCTACACAACCCTTAATTCGAACTACTTAATTTGAACTAGGCGTTAGTCCTCGTAGAACGAGGTTTACCTCGTTCGAATTAAGCGCTCCGCTAGTTCGAATTAAGTGGCTACACAACCCTTAATTCGAACTACTTAATTTGAACTAGGCGTTAGTCCTCGTAGAACGAGGTTTACCTCGTTCGAATTAAGCGCTCCGCTAGTTCGAATTAAGTGGCTACACAACCCTTAATTCGAACTACTTAATTTGAACTAGGCGTTAGTCCTCGTAGAACGAGGTTTACCTCGTTCGAATTAAGCGCTCCGCTAGTTCGAATTAAGTGGCTACACAACCCTTAATTCGAACTACTTAATTTGAACTAGGCGTTAGTCCTCGTAGAACGAGGTTTACCTCGTTCGAATTAAGCGCTCCGCTAGTTCGAATTAAGTGGCTACACAACCCTTAATTCGAACTACTTAATTTGAACTAGGCGTTAGTCCTCGTAGAACGAGGTTTACCTCGTTCGAATTAAGCGCTCCGCTAGTTCGAATTAAGTGGCTACACAACCCTTAATTCGAACTACTTAATTTGAACTAGGCGTTAGTCCTCGTAGAACGAGGTTTACCTCGTTCGAATTAAGCGCTCCGCTAGTTCGAATTAAGTGGCTACACAACCCTTAATTCGAACTACTTAATTTGAACTAGGCGTTAGTCCTCGTAGAACGAGGTTTACCTCGTTCGAATTAAGCGCTCCGCTAGTTCGAATTAAGTGGCTACACAACCCTTAATTCGAACTACTTAATTTGAACTAGGCGTTAGTCCTCGTAGAACGAGGTTTACCTCGTTCGAATTAAGCGCTCCGCTAGTTCGAATTAAGTGGCTACACAACCCTTAATTCGAACTACTTAATTTGAACTAGGCGTTAGTCCTCGTAGAACGAGGTTTACCTCGTTCGAATTAAGCGCTCCGCTAGTTCGAATTAAGTGGCTACACAACCCTTAATTCGAACTACTTAATTTGAACTAGGCGTTAGTCCTCGTAGAACGAGGTTTACCTCGTTCGAATTAAGCGCTCCGCTAGTTCGAATTAAGTGGCTACACAACCCTTAATTCGAACTACTTAATTTGAACTAGGCGTTAGTCCTCGTAGAACGAGGTTTACCTCGTTCGAATTAAGCGCTCCGCTAGTTCGAATTAAGTGGCTACACAACCCTTAATTCGAACTACTTAATTTGAACTAGGCGTTAGTCCTCGTAGAACGAGGTTTACCTCGTTCGAATTAAGCGCTCCGCTAGTTCGAATTAAGTGGCTACACAACCCTTAATTCGAACTACTTAATTTGAACTAGGCGTTAGTCCTCGTAGAACGAGGTTTACCTCGTTCGAATTAAGCGCTCCGCTAGTTCGAATTAAGTGGCTACACAACCCTTAATTCGAACTACTTAATTTGAACTAGGCGTTAGTCCTCGTAGAACGAGGTTTACCTCGTTCGAATTAAGCGCTCCGCTAGTTCGAATTAAGTGGCTACACAACCCTTAATTCGAACTACTTAATTTGAACTAGGCGTTAGTCCTCGTAGAACGAGGTTTACCTCGTTCGAATTAAGCGCTCCGCTAGTTCGAATTAAGTGGCTACACAACCCTTAATTCGAACTACTTAATTTGAACTAGGCGTTAGTCCTCGTAGAACGAGGTTTACCTCGTTCGAATTAAGCGCTCCGCTAGTTCGAATTAAGTGGCTACACAACCCTTAATTCGAACTACTTAATTTGAACTAGGCGTTAGTCCTCGTAGAACGAGGTTTACCTCGTTCGAATTAAGCGCTCCGCTAGTTCGAATTAAGTGGCTACACAACCCTTAATTCGAACTACTTAATTTGAACTAGGCGTTAGTCCTCGTAGAACGAGGTTTACCTCGTTCGAATTAAGCGCTCCGCTAGTTCGAATTAAGTGGCTACACAACCCTTAATTCGAACTACTTAATTTGAACTAGGCGTTAGTCCTCGTAGAACGAGGTTTACCTCGTTCGAATTAAGCGCTCCGCTAGTTCGAATTAAGTGGCTACACAACCCTTAATTCGAACTACTTAATTTGAACTAGGCGTTAGTCCTCGTAGAACGAGGTTTACCTCGTTCGAATTAAGCGCTCCGCTAGTTCGAATTAAGTGGCTACACAACCCTTAATTCGAACTACTTAATTTGAACTAGGCGTTAGTCCTCGTAGAACGAGGTTTACCTCGTTCGAATTAAGCGCTCCGCTAGTTCGAATTAAGTGGCTACACAACCCTTAATTCGAACTACTTAATTTGAACTAGGCGTTAGTCCTCGTAGAACGAGGTTTACCTCGTTCGAATTAAGCGCTCCGCTAGTTCGAATTAAGTTCGAACTAGCGGTTTGTATGTGTAGCGCCTATGAAAGTTAATTCAAACTAATGGCTGTTAGTTCGAATTAACTTTGTAGTGTAGACATACCTTAAGAGTGTGACCCACAGTTATTTAATACAACACTGTGTAGAAGTTTAGGATAGGAAGAAGAATAGCCCAGAATGCGTTAGTGTCTCAGAGCTACTTCTGTAGCAAGCACGATTGGATTCTCAGGCACAAACTGTTAATTTCCGCAGTATGTGTCCTTGTTTTCTGCAAATGATGCTGGCAAACCATATGCCAGCTGATGCCAAGATCCTCATGCCTCACAAAAATACTGACAAACACATAGCTGGAATCAACTGGGATCAGCTGTATGCTAGCATTGTTAAAACAGTTCATAGAGTCCTAAAATATATGTGTAGTGTTTAGACTTTATGGAACATGTGCAAGTTGCTCCCTGCTTTGTATGCCACATTGTAAAGTAATATTTGGGAATCTGCATCATAAGTCTCTGTAAAGGTGTAAATGGCTAGAAAGGAGAGAGACATACGATATGAGAGAGTGTGAAATGTTGGCCTCCAACAGAAGACATTATTTCCTACTCTACAGGAAGGCCCACTGACACTAGCTGAACTATTGTGAAACATCTGGAAGGACTGCTGCTTTCTCTCCTTTCTCCCTAACCTTTAAAGAGATGTGCAAGTGAATTCCTCTAATCAGTTGAATTTGCAACTCAAAGTAGAAAGTGGCCTGGATAAACCCCCCCATATTTCTTGCATTCTGAAGGGTATAGAGTTCTCAGCAGAAGCAAGAGATTTCTCTTGTCTTTAGTTTGGATTAACTCTAAAGGACATATAGATCTTGCTTAATATAGAAGCTTCTATTTGTGTATATTTATATTTTCCTTCTTTGACTTTGTAAATGACTCTCTTGTCTCCTTTTTAATGACTTTTTAGATAGTGTATTATAGAATTTGTGACAAGTGTTGTCTTTGGTGTGAGATCAAGGGCACACTTAAAGGGGGTAAGTAACTGGTCCTTTGGCCTTGGAGTAATGTGAAAATTCCTGGGATTCATGCTGTACGAGTCCATCTATCACAAATGTAACCTTGCCTCAGTGACAAGACAGATCAGAGTACCACAAGGGAGTATTTATGACTTTATCGTTAGGCTGTTGTGGTGCCTGAGGAGATTGTGCTTAATACCAGGATGGTAATATCTAAATATCAAACTCACAACTAGTTTGTGTTTGTGCCCTGTTCTGCCCTGAGGATGGCCCCCGTGTCAATAAGCTGTAATAGTTATTAATGTGTATAGTATGCAAAACACCTCATATTCAATTTTTTTAAAATAGATCTTGTGCATGTTAAGATACAGTATGACATGTAGAATAATGTAACAGCCTTTTAATGAAAGAATTTTAGTTCTGTTTGGTATATTTCAGTTGGCATATCCTTGTGGGGGAATATGAAATCAATTACAAATTCCTTCATGTAGTCGCTCACCACCTCCAAATCTCTCCAGGAACCCCCCCATACAAAAATCACGATTAATTAAAGTGACTTGTATGTTCAGTTGATGCCGTGATGATGCCAGATTGGTTACCTACTGTCACATGTCAGTGTCACATGCTTGGTGCCAACATGACTAAATGAATGGGCAGCCATCATGAATCCTGGGGACTGGGGAAAGAAGTAATATCACAATATTAGGGGAGTTGAAGGTTCTCTGCATCATGCAATATTGGGCTCTTCAGAAGCAGGATTGAGATGGGAAAGTGTTTGCTTCCACATATTCATTTTGCAGTTGGTCTCTGATCTGAGGGGCCTGGATACCTTGGTGATAAGCACGATACAAACAGAGATAGAGATTTCACGTATTTGAGACAACTTTTCATGTCCACTTTTACCACCAAAGCATCATGGATGATGGTGATGGTGATGATGATGATGACAACAATCATGATGATAATGATAATGCCAAAGCGTTGTATGCATATAGCATTAATTAATGAATCCTCACAACACCCTGTGAGATATTTTTATCCTCATTTTCTATCTGTGGGACTGAGAAGCTGTGCGTACAGGAGACTGAGCTTAGATCAATCAATATGATATTGCAGAAGTCCCCTGCTTCTTCCTACAACTCTGTGCCAAGTAAATACCTCTGGGCACTTTCGTTTCTTACTCACACTTCATGAAAGTTCTGGGAAAAGGCATTAGCTCGTGGGTGTGGCCTGGAGATATAGCCTGAGAAGGGAGGGAAGTGGAAAAATACTGTGTCTTTATGTTGTAGACTGTGTCTGTATGATTTCAAAGAAGGAAATACGCAGACACCCAAGACTGTAATTGTTCAGCTCCAGTCACAGCTGTTCTCCAAAAGCACTGACCAGAAGGTAAGAATGAGGCATGTTGGGTGAATGGTCATAAATGGTCCACCACAAATGTTTAAATATTGTTGCTCCAGGGAACATGGAAAGGATAGGAAAACGGGTGTGGGGCAGGGGAAGGAAGGGTTGGAAGGAGGTTGTTAGCAAATTAAGAGACCTGTGATATGTCTGGAATGCACTGAGATTTGCTTTTTTAAAAGATTAAATAATCATGGAATGTATTTTTCCAAGGAAAAACTTGCAATCAGAATTAACATTGGAGAAGTTCTTTGACAACTTTTAGGGATCATAATTAAAATGTCTAAACCAACTCCTGCACCAACAACCAAACAGCGAAAAGCACCTCAAAGAATGGCTGAGGACAGTAGATGCAGAAATTCAAAGGCAAATGAGAGGACAGAAAACCCACGGGATATGGTTCCTCCGTCTCTGTCACAAGTCGCAAAATTTTCAGTCACCACATCTGGAAAAAATTTGAGGACACCAGAAGCTCCAAGTATTCAAGACTCAGAGTACTTAAAAGATCAACTTGCAGGTTAATGCATTTTATTTCAGCTGGGTGCTTGTTGTTAAATCTCATTTAGACATGCTTCAGGCTTCATATTGATTCCTTTCTTTAAGGCAGAAAACACAGCCTATCTATCTATGTATGTTGTGATGATCCTGTCCACACATCAAGTTTTAGGTAATAGTGTCACTAAATAAGTTTTTATGTCTCTCTCTGTCAGGATACCCTCAGCTCAGGATATTGGGGGAGAGTGGGATGGATAGGTGGACCAATGAGGTAGACAGATTCAGTAGTTGGAACCTGGGGATCAGTGATGTGCCTTTATCTTTTTTCCCTCCCTTCTGTAATATGCAGAGACAATGCATTTACGCCATATTATGACGATTTGGACATTCTAGCTGTTGTTACTGTGGGTTCCTACAAGCTCTTACCCATACATACCATAGTTGAAATTGCTCCTGCTTTGGGCAGGGGGTTAGACTTGATGACCTCCTGAGGTTTCTTCCAACTCTGTGATTCTATACAAGTACAGTAGACCCTTGCTATAATATCCTTCATCATAGTAAACCAACTCTATTTATAGTCCGTTTCCAGCTCTTTGGCCTCCTCTCCCAACTTGTTAAAGGTCAGCTTTTAGGAGCTTATCATGTTTTCAAAATGTGGTTTAATGGTTTTATGTTGAAGTAATGGAGTCCCACCCCTACCTCCCATTTGCAGGGTCTGTGCATTTGTAGCAGTAGCTTCTGACTTTTCCGCTGGCTTCACCATGAAGTTCCAAGTGTCCATAGGGATAAACATGAAACCCTAGTGTAACTGCGGATTTGAACCGGGGACTTCAGGAGCTGAGTATAGAAGCCTCTACCCTCTGAGCTAAAAGCAGCTGGCTCCCAGCCCATACTGTAGAGGTCTCTTGGTCTTAACTGTTTTTGTGATCTAGGTACCACTTGCATTGCTCAGTAACCACACTAGACGTGTGGGTTACATAAGCTAACCTCAGATCTGCCCCCTACTTATACACCTCACCTAACCTTAGCCAGACTTGATTCATTAGTCTGTAGAAAAGCCAACCTTATGAATTATTAATGCAATATTTCTACACACCATGCAAAGGATCACAGGGAATTCTGGACTGTGTCTGCAATAACTTGTAATTTTCTCTGTGTAAAGGCAAAATAATTGATACATGTGTTTGGTCACTAGCAACACAGCTAAGATCTTGGAAATTCTTTAGGAGCCACAGCTGAGATGCCTGAAACACTTCCTGCAAAAAGCCAGAGAAAGCAAAGTAACCAGGCTCCCAAATGTGAGGAGGAAGGAAAAATTCCTCAGAGAGCAGCAAGAAGAGGGAGAAGCAAAGGAGCACAGGATAAGCTGGCAATAGAAGGACCAGAAATTGCAGCTATTCAGTCTCCATTAGCCCAAGAGCAGCTCTCTGCACACTGCCCACACCCCAAGCGGACTGGAACTTCACAAAGAAGGAGAGAATCTGCAGGTTGGTGCAAGCAATAGCTGGTTGAATGAACAATTCAGGAGAGAGTCATAGTCGCACTTCATATATTTTCTCCTAAGGAGGTGAATCAAAAGCTTTCTGTATGTGATGTAATTACGTTATCCCTTGCTGTTGTTATTGCTATTAGTGGGAGTGCACAATCAAAGGCCATTATTCTATGGTATTAGATGCCACACAGGCACGTAACAAGGAGACAGTTCTTGTCCTAGACTGTTCACTGTGCAGGTGTATGACAAGATGCAGCAAGTAGATGAGTCCAACAAGGAGGATGAAAAAGCAAAAGAGTCCCTTTTGTATATTGGATAGTGGTGAGCTAAGATAACTTATGACACAAGATGGTCAAAAACTGGAAAGAAAATGTCAATGAAAAATTCCAAGTTCTTTTCATTCCTCAGGTTTCAAAAACCAACAATATTTTATTCCATTTTTTGTGAGACGTCATACTCAATATTCTCACTGACAATTTGTAGTGAAGGCAACATTAACCTTAGGAATTCTGGGACTCAATTCTGCAAGGTACTGGGACTTCTCCAAGGTTCTGAGTCTTATCAACCCATATTTCAGACAGTGGGAGCTGAGGATTCTCAGCACCTCAAGAGGGTACATTTTTTAAAAGCCAGAACATATCTTATCTCGTGGCCTTTGGTTTCTATCCTTTCTTATAGGATGCCTTGGACAACCCTTTTCCAGGTATGACTCTGCTGTCCTGTGTGAGAGCTCAAAGATGGCAGCAGCTGCTCTCTCCATGCCAAGCAAAGATGTTGCTCTCCGTATTAAAGAAAGGGTGAAAGCCCTTCGTCTGAAACAGGAGGAGATAACCAAGGCTGCTGCAATAATTAATGGGTTCATTGACCCATTCATTAGATACTTGAAAGAGTATCCAGAGAGGCCCTACTTTAAGGAGGTGACCAAGTTGACCACGGGCAGCTACTATGAGTTTGTGAAAGTGAGTAACTCTGTGCTAACTGTCCTAATAGCATCATGAATTAGGATCACAAAGCTGTCATTTTATCCAGCAGGACTAACACAAAGCAGAGGCAGGTCTAGTATTCGGTCTGTGAAGGAGATCTACAGATTCATTGCTTTTTGGCTGATATGGCCAGATCCTGAGCTCAGCTGTGCCCCTCTATCTGAGGTTTTTCTATATTGCCTACCATTGTGGCATCCTTTATATAGCAACTTTTACCACAGAATCTTTTCTTTATTGTCTGTCACTGTGGTGATTTTAAGGGATTGCAAGGGTATTACTTGACCATCGTTATACCTTTCTATCGAGTTTCCTATGAGTCAGAATCTGATACCCTTACTCACATGAGTAGCACTTTAATCCTCAAGTCACCTCTTTGATCAGTCAATGGGACCACTGCTGGAATAATTTAAGATACTTATCAAAGTGAGTTAGAGTATCAGAATCTGGTCCTAAGTGAATTCAATTTGCTGTCCAGATGCTTTACAGTATTTGTGCCATGCTAGGGTCAGTTCATATTCATATTTCATTCATATTCATAAGCCTGATGAACTAGCTCTCTACATATAGGGCTATATACACAGACAGAGAAAAATCCCTTTATCTACTGGCAAAGAGCAGTCTATAAGGGATAGGTGACAGCTGTTTAACTGTCCCCAACTGTATTGCATAGAAATAGTGCAGAAGTGAAGGAAAGCTATATCCACCAGCACAGGGAAAATTTAGAGCTACAGGTATAATTAGCAAGATTGGGATTAGGCCAGGATATCATGTCTAATATCCTAAAACTTGCAAAAAAATGACATGGGACCTTTAATGACCACATTTGTTCAGGGCAAAAATGGCAAGTATAACAGCATGGGGAAAGGCATGCCACATTAAAGCAATGCTGTAGCATTAATTTAGAGGCTTACTGCATCACCAGTATCGGTTCCTGCATTCTGGTGGCCAAGAGGTGACTTAAAGCTGCCCTAGCTGAGCTGCTGGAGATTGCCTCAGCATGAGAAAACTCATTGACTCATGTACAAAGCCAGAGTAGCCAGCACTATGGCAGCCACCCTGTCCTAAAAGGGAGCAGCTCAGAAATATGCCTGAGTAGAAGGAATGGATGAGGGTGTGGCCAGAGTTCATGGTGCTTTGACAATCTCCACTGGCATAACAGCTCCTAGGGAACTGTTCCAAGCCAGCCTAATGTGGAGTTGCTAAAGCTTCTTTGGGGTCTGAACTGGATAAATGGGCCAGCTATATTGCATCCATAAAAATCCTTCCCTGATACATTCTCTGGAAACTCAGGAAGCGAATGTGAAATCGTAGGGATGGCCCATTCTGCCATAATAGCAAATGAGCAGCCAGGATTCTGTCCTCCCTATTCTGCTGCTGCTTCTGCAGTTATTCAGTTGCACCACCTCTAATGATGAAACCCTTTCTATAGATTGATCACCCAGATGAATTTGACGTAATGCTGGCTCTGCCGGTTACATGTTGTGTTCAGTGCACAGAAGTGGATGGCTACAATGGTGTCTACTACAAAGTTACTTTACCAAGGAAGTCCCGTAGCTTCCCCACACCTTTCCTGGAAGATGGGAACACTGTGTCACCTGTGAAAATCCTGGAGGAATTCAGGAAACATGTCAGTCAGTTCATTGCATCACACTACAGTGGTAAGCAAGTGTCTTTGACTGCCAGTTTCCAAGTAGTCCTCATCAATGTGCAGCGTCATTCAAAAAAGCAAACAGAATTTTAGGAATAATTAAAAAAAGGATAGAGAATAAGACAGAGAATATCGTAGTGCCTCTATATAAATCCATGGTATGCCCACAACTTGAATACTGCATACAGCTGTGGTTGCCCCATCTCAAAAAATGTGTTGGGATTGGAAAAGGTTCAGAAATGGGCAACTAAGATGATTAGGGGTTTGGAATGGGTGTCATATATAGAGATTATGGGAGGGAAAAGAACTGCCTCAAGCTACACAATGAGCAAACTTCTCTTGCAAAACCACGTAACCCATAAAATGGAACAATAAGTCTAGTTAAGCAAATATGATGTTTTTTATGAGATTACCAGTTTGGTTGATAAGGCTATCTATACTGATATAGTGTACTATGCTTTGAATTTGACTTAGTACCTCCTCACATTCCAATTAAAATTCAGCACTATATGAAATTAATATAGCACATAATAAATCAATTAAAAACTGGCTAATTGATGAATTTCAAAAAGGATTCTAAATTGGGAATCAATGTGGAAAATGTCATGATGTGAAAGAAAATATAAAATCATTGCTTGTAAAATGTCCAGATGACAAAAAAGTTAATGTTAAGGGCGGATCAGTTATACAGAGCAATCCTGATCATTTTCTATGGTGGGATAGCTTGACCAACATGCATTTTAATACACCCAAATGAAAGGTCATATATATCTTGGAACAAAGAATGAAGATAACATGTATAGGATGGGGTACTCTATCTTGGCAAGCTGTGAGCCTGAAAAGGATTTAAGAATTTTGGCAGATTGTCCGGATGTGAAGGGCAGAGCTCTGACCCTCGTTCACTAGGCAGACTATGGGGTCATCACTGTGAGCGGGGAATAGATATTTTCCCTGACCCTTTCCCTGTGTGTCCCTCTCCCATGTCCTTATCTAACCCATCATCAGTTGCTCAATCGTCTATTCAGTCCTCGCCTTCCGGCTTTAATCCCCTGGCACTGTGACTCGTCTTCCTCGGTCGAGGAGGGTAGGGAGACCTGTGCCCTCCCTCACTCCAGGCCTCGACCCAGGATGATGTGCCTTTATCTTTTTTCCCTCCCTTCTGTAATATGCAGAGACAATGCATTTACGCCATATTATGACGATTTGGACATTCTAGCTGTTGTTACTGTGGGTTCCTACAAGCTCTTACCCATACATACCATAGTTGAAATTGCTCCTGCTTTGGGCAGGGGGTTAGACTTGATGACCTCCTGAGGTTTCTTCCAACTCTGTGATTCTATACAAGTACAGTAGACCCTTGCTATAATATCCTTCATCATAGTAAACCAACTCTATTTATAGTCCGTTTCCAGCTCTTTGGCCTCCTCTCCCAACTTGTTAAAGGTCAGCTTTTAGGAGCTTATCATGTTTTCAAAATGTGGTTTAATGGTTTTATGTTGAAGTAATGGAGTCCCACCCCTACCTCCCATTTGCAGGGTCTGTGCATTTGTAGCAGTAGCTTCTGACTTTTCCGCTGGCTTCACCATGAAGTTCCAAGTGTCCATAGGGATAAACATGAAACCCTAGTGTAACTGCGGATTTGAACCGGGGACTTCAGGAGCTGAGTATAGAAGCCTCTACCCTCTGAGCTAAAAGCAGCTGGCTCCCAGCCCATACTGTAGAGGTCTCTTGGTCTTAACTGTTTTTGTGATCTAGGTACCACTTGCATTGCTCAGTAACCGCACTAGACGTGTGGGTTACATAAGCTAACCTCAGATCTGCCCCCTACTTATACACCTCACCTAACCTTAGCCAGACTTGATTCATTAGTCTGTAGAAAAGCCAACCTTATGAATTATTAATGCAATATTTCTACACACCATGCAAAGGATCACAGGGAATTCTGGACTGTGTCTGCAATAACTTGTAATTTTCTCTGTGTAAAGGCAAAATAATTGATACATGTGTTTGGTCACTAGCAACACAGCTAAGATCTTGGAAATTCTTTAGGAGCCACAGCTGAGATGCCTGAAACACTTCCTGCAAAAAGCCAGAGAAAGCAAAGTAACCAGGCTCCCAAATGTGAGGAGGAAGGAAAAATTCCTCAGAGAGCAGCAAGAAGAGGGAGAAGCAAAGGAGCACAGGATAAGCTGGCAATAGAAGGACCAGAAATTGCAGCTATTCAGTCTCCATTAGCCCAAGAGCAGCTCTCTGCACACTGCCCACACCCCAAGCAGACTGGAACTTCACAAAGAAGGAGAGAATCTGCAGGTTGGTGCAAGCAATAGCTGGTTGAATGAACAATTCAGGAGAGAGTCATAGTCGCACTTCATATATTTTCTCCTAAGGAGGTGAATCAAAAGCTTGCTGTATGTGATGTAATTACGTTATCCCTTGCTGTTGTTATTGCTATTAGTGGGAGTGCACAATCAAAGGCCATTATTCTATGGTATTAGATGCCACACAGGCACGTAACAAGGAGACAGTTCTTGTCCTAGACTGTTCACTGTGCAGGTGTATGACAAGATGCAGCAAGTAGATGAGTCCAACAAGGAGGATGAAAAAGCAAAAGAGTCCCTTTTGTATATTGGATAGTGGTGAGCTAAGATAACTTATGACACAAGATGGTCAAAAACTGGAAAGAAAATGTCAATGAAAAATTCCAAGTTCTTTTCATTCCTCAGGTTTCAAAAACCAACAATATTTTATTCCATTTTTTGTGAGACGTCATACTCAATATTCTCACTGACAATTTGTAGTGAAGGCAACATTAACCTTAGGAATTCTGGGACTCAATTCTGCAAGGTACTGGGACTTCTCCAAGGTTCTGAGTCTTATCAACCCATATTTCAGACAGTGGGAGCTGAGGATTCTCAGCACCTCAAGAGGGTACATTTTTTAAAAGCCAGAACATATCTTATCTCGTGGCATTTGGTTTCTATCCTTTCTTATAGGATGCCTTGGACAACCCTTTTCCAGGTATGACTCTGCTGTCCTGTGTGAGAGCTCAAAGATGGCAGCAGCTGCTCTCTCCATGCCAAGCAAAGATGTTGCTCTCCGTATTAAAGAAAGGGTGAAAGCCCTTCGTCTGAAACAGGAGGAGATAACCAAGGCTGCTGCAATAATTAATGGGTTCATTGACCCATTCATTAGATACTTGAAAGAGTATCCAGAGAGGCCCTACTTTAAGGAGGTGACCAAGTTGACCACGGGCAGCTACTATGAGTTTGTGAAAGTGAGTAACTCTGTGCTAACTGTCCTAATAGCATCATGAATTAGGATCACAAAGCTGTCATTTTATCCAGCAGGACTAACACAAAGCAGAGGCAGGTCTAGTATTCGGTCTGTGAAGGAGATCTACAGATTCATTGCTTTTTGGCTGATATGGCCAGATCCTGAGCTCAGCTGTGCCCCTCTATCTGAGGTTTTTCTATATTGCCTACCATTGTGGCATCCTTTATATAGCAACTTTTACCACAGAATCTTTTCTTTATTGTCTGTCACTGTGGTGATTTTAAGGGATTGCAAGGGTATTACTTGACCATCGTTATACCTTTCTATCGAGTTTCCTATGAGTCAGAATCTGATACCCTTACTCACATGAGTAGCACTTTAATCCTCAAGTCACCTCTTTGATCAGTCAATGGGACCACTGCTGGAATAATTTAAGATACTTATCAAAGTGAGTTAGAGTATCAGAATCTGGTCCTAAGTGAATTCAATTTGCTGTCCAGATGCTTTACAGTATTTGTGCCATGCTAGGGTCAGTTCATATTCATATTTCATTCATATTCATAAGCCTGATGAACTAGCTCTCTACATATAGGGCTATATACACAGACAGAGAAAAATCCCTTTATCTACTGGCAAAGAGCAGTCTATAAGGGATAGGTGACAGCTGTTTAACTGTCCCCAACTGTATTGCATAGAAATAGTGCAGAAGTGAAGGAAAGCTATATCCACCAGCACAGGGAAAATTTAGAGCTACAGGTATAATTAGCAAGATTGGGATTAGGCCAGGATATCATGTCTAATATCCTAAAACTTGCAAAAAAATGACATGGGACCTTTAATGACCACATTTGTTCAGGGCAAAAATGGCAAGTATAACAGCATGGGGAAAGGCATGCCACATTAAAGCAATGCTGTAGCATTAATTTAGAGGCTTACTGCATCACCAGTATCGGTTCCTGCATTCTGGTGGCCAAGAGGTGACTTAAAGCTGCCCTAGCTGAGCTGCTGGAGATTGCCTCAGCATGAGAAAACTCATTGACTCATGTACAAAGCCAGTGTAGCCAGCACTATGGCAGCCACCCTGTCCTAAAAGGGAGCAGCTCAGAAATATGCCTGAGTAGAAGGAATGGATGAGGGTGTGGCCAGAGTTCATGGTGCTTTGACAATCTCCACTGGCATAACAGCTCCTAGGGAACTGTTCCAAGCCAGCCTAATGTGGAGTTGCTAAAGCTTCTTTGGGGTCTGAACTGGATAAATGGGCCAGCTATATTGCATCCATAAAAATCCTTCCCTGATACATTCTCTGGAAACTCAGGAAGCGAATGTGAAATCGTAGGGATGGCCCATTCTGCCATAATAGCAAATGAGCAGCCAGGATTCTGTCCTCCCTATTCTGCTGCTGCTTCTGCAGTTATTCAGTTGCACCACCTCTAATGATGAAACCCTTTCTATAGATTGATCACCCAGATGAATTTGACGTAATGCTGGCTCTGCCGGTTACATGTTGTGTTCAGTGCACAGAAGTGGATGGCTACAATGGTGTCTACTACAAAGTTACTTTACCAAGGAAGTCCCGTAGCTTCCCCACACCTTTCCTGGAAGATGGGAACACTGTGTCACCTGTGAAAATCCTGGAGGAATTCAGGAAACATGTCAGTCAGTTCATTGCATCACACTACAGTGGTAAGCAAGTGTCTTTGACTGCCAGTTTCCAGGTAGTCCTCATCAATGTGCAGCGTCATTCAAAAAAGCAAACAGAATTTTAGGAATAATTAAAAAAAGGATAGAGAATAAGACAGAGAATATCGTAGTGCCTCTATATAAATCCATGGTATGCCCACATCTTGAATACTGCATACAGCTGTGGTTGCCCCATCTCAAAAAATGTGTTGGGATTGGAAAAGGTTCAGAAATGGGCAACTAAGATGATTAGGGGTTTGGAATGGGTGTCATATATAGAGATTATGGGAGGGAAAAGAACTGCCTCAAGCTACACAATGAGCAAACTTCTCTTGCAAAACCACGTAACCCATAAAATGGAACAATAAGTCTAGTTAAGCAAATATGATGTTTTTTATGAGATTACCAGTTTGGTTGATAAGGCTATCTATACTGATATAGTGTACTATGCTTTGAATTTGACTTAGTACCTCCTCACATTCCAATTAAAATTCAGCACTATATGAAATTAATATAGCACATAATAAATCAATTAAAAACTGGCTAATTGATGAATTTCAAAAAGGATTCTAAATTGGGAATCAATGTGGAAAATGTCATGATGTGAAAGAAAATATAAAATCATTGCTTGTAAAATGTCCAGATGACAAAAAAGTTAATGTTAAGGGCGGATCAGTTATACAGAGCAATCCTGATCATTTTCTATGGTGGGATAGCTTGACCAACATGCATTTTAATACACCCAAATGAAAGGTCATATATATCTTGGAACAAAGAATGAAGATAACATGTATAGGTTGAGGTACTCTATCTTGGCAAGCTGTAAGCCTGAAAAGTATTTAAGAATTTTGGCAGATTGTCCGGATGTGAAGGGCAGAGCTCTGACCCTCGTTCACTAGGCAGACTATGGGGTCATCACTGTGAGCGGGGAATAGATATTTTCCCTGACCCTTTCCCTGTGTGTCCCTCTCCCATGTCCTTATCTAACCCATCATCAGTTGCTCAATCGTCTAATCAGTCCTCGCCTTCCGGCTTTAATCCCCTGGCACTGTGACTCGTCTTCCTCGGTCGAGGAGGGTAGGGAGACCTGTGCCCTCCCTCACTCCAGGCCTCGACCCAGGACTCTAAGGGCATGTCTACACTAGCCCCCTAGTTTGAACTAGGGAGGCTAATGTAGGCATTCGAAGTTGCATATCAAGCCCAGGATTTAAATATTCCGCACTTGATTTGCATCTTCCCGGCCAGTTGCCATTTTTGAAATTTACAAGTCTGGACTAACTGTCCGCGTCTACATGTGGCAGGGACCCGGTATTTCGAATTAAAGCCCCTAAATCGAACTACCTGTTAAACCTTCTTGGAGGAGGAATAACATGTAGTTTGATTTAGGGCTTTAATTTGAAATACTGGGTCCCTGCCATGTATAGACATGGACAGTTAGTCCAGACTTGTAAATTTCAAAAATGGTGACCAGACGGGAAGATGCAAATCAAGCACGGGCTATTTAAATCCCGGGCTTGATTTGCAACTTCGAATGCCTACATTAGCCTCCTTAGTTCAAACTAGGGGGCTAGGGTAGACATACCCTAAAAGCAGAGTAGTTCAAACTAGGGGGCTAGGGTAGACATGCCCTAAAAGCAGATGCAGTTTTCTTCTGCTCAGTTGGTGGGGCTACCACCTGCAACTACCAACACGCAGAATCTGTGTAGCCCATCTTGGGCCGCTTCCTACCCTCTTGGCTGTGCTGGGGACCGGGTTCCCCTTTCAAACACAGTCCTCTCGCTGCCTCCCCTCTTGGCAGTGGGAGCGGCCATTTAAACTTGGCACCCGGTGTTTTCCCCATGCCCAGGCCGGCGCAGACCACACAAGCCACTTGCCGGGGCCAGGTACCTCCGCACACGCTCTGGGAGTGGTGCACAAACAGGCCTCGCACCAGTACAGGGGAACTGTTCCCCCCTGGCCACAGAGTGCCTCCGCATCCTCCTGGTTATTGCGGGAGATGGAGGGCTCCAGTGCCGGGGAACCCAACACCCCATCACACCCCCCCATCCTTAAGTTTCTCCCGTCACCTTCTTGCATCCCCTCCTTCTATGGTTCTTGAAAAAAAGTCTGAATTACCATGAGCCTTCCCTGGTTGATGCATCACCTTGAACTTATATGGCTGTAGCGCCAAGTACCATCGCATTACACTTGGGTTTATGTCCTTCATAGACTGCAACCACATCAAGGGTGCGTGGCCCATCACCCGCTGGAATGGATTCCCTAAGAAGTGACTCCACCGCCTACTTCACAGTCAAAGCCTCCTTCTCCACTGTTGCGTAGGCTTGCTCCCTAGGAAACAGTTTACGGCTTAAGCATAACACAGGATGTTCTTCCCCATTAATCTCCTGTGTCAAGACAGCTCCCAGGCCAACTGCAGAAGCATGTGTTTGTACAATAAAATCTTTGGAAAAGTCCAGCTTCACTAATACTGGTGCCTATGTTAACAGGTCTTTTAAGGTCCAGAATGCCTTCTCACATGGTTCAGTCCACCGTACCTTTTTGGGTCGAGAGTCAAGTCTGTCACATGGTTCAGTCCACCGTACCTTTTTGGGTTGAGAGTCAAGTCTGTGAGGGTATGTCTACACTACAACGTTAATTCGAACTAACTTAGTTCGAATTAGTTAATTCGAACTAAGCTAATTCGAACTAACGCATCTAGAACTAAAATCTAGTTCGAAGTAGCGTTTTGCTAATTCGAACTAGCGCATCCACACTGATTGGACGCAGGGGGGCATTTAAGGGCGGCTGAAACTGGTTCTGGCAG